TCTGAAATATCTATTAAATTATTTCTTATGAATTTTATCAAAGAAATGTGACAAATATAGTAAATATATTCAGAAAATTCGGGGGAAAATTGAGCCAATTTTAACGTAAAATTGACAATTTTTTAGTAATATCTGATAATTAACATCATATACCTCCACTTTTGATGTTCTTATCTAAATATTTAAGATAACTTTGACCTATTTGCTTAAATTCAGAAAAAGTTTAAGACTTTAAAATAATTTTCTTGCCGATTTAATTTTCAAATTAAATCACAGTTTATTAGTGCAAAAAGGTCAAATAATTGATTATGCGAAGCAATTTGAAACTTTTTCTTACTTACAATTTTAAAGTGTCTTTTTTAAAACAGACTTAGAATTCATTTTTATCGTGCTTTAACTGGATAAAAATATTGCTGGGAAATTGTCGAAGATTTATTCTTTTAATTTAGACACAAATTTCAGTGCAAAAAGGTCATATTAAATGTACTGTAGAGCCAAAAGAAGCAGATTGACCCTCATTTTTTGATTTGAATTTTAATTAAGCTATGTATGTAGAAACTAAAAATATATTTAATTTCGATGGACGGTGTTGCCATGGTTACTAAAAAGAGAATTTTCGGTGAAATTCCTTTAAAATGCTACTCTTAGAGTTTTGTTCTGATTTCAATATAACTTGTACTCAAGCAGAATACACTAAGATACAAAAAATAATGCATTGGTTTTTGATTTTGATGAACGGTGTTGCCATGGTTACTAAAATGGAAATGTCTGTGAAATTCCTTTAAAATGCTACTCCTCCTACAGTTTTGATCTGATTTCGGTATAACTTGGCACACAAGTAGACTACACTATGATACAAAAAAGATTGCATCGGTTTTTGATTTCGATGAACGGTGTTGCCATGGTTACTAAAATATAAAATTTTCTGTGAAATTCCTTAAAAACGCTAATCCTCCTACAGTTTTGGTCTGATTTTAATATTACTTGGCACACAAGTAGACTACACTAAGATACATAAAATAGTGCATTGGATTTTGATTTCGATGATCGGTGTTGCCATGGTTACTAAAAATAGAATTTTCTGTGAAATTCCTTTAAAACACTACTCCTCCTACAATTTTGGTCTGATTTCAATATAACTTGGCACAAGTAGACTACACTAAGATACATAAAACAGTGCATCGGTTTTTGATTTCAATGAACAGTGTTGCCGTGGTTACTAAAAATAGAAATGTTTGTGAAATTCCTTTAAAATGCTACTCCTTCTACAGTTTTGGTCTGATGGCAATGGCTTCTTTTCTCATCCTTTGTTATAAGTACAAACCAGTAGAGCTACAGTCTCGACAGAGACTTTTGGTTTCATTAACATTGAGCACGACAAATTTAGTTGATGAGGTACCGCGCTGTATAAGAGGTATCTTACCGGTAATTGACCAATGAAAATGAATTTAGTCAAATAAAATGAATTGTAGTTCCAATGTATGAAATTAATCTTTCTTTTTTTTTTTATTTAAAAAAAATTCATTCCTGTTTATTTTTACAATTTTGGTGTCTGTGGCATATGAAATTTATATACTGTACATGAACTTTGTTAAAATAAAGGTTTTTGACACGAACTATATTTCAGGGCATACATGTAGAAGGCTACTTTCTTGGGGTTTATTTTTCTTTAACTTGAAAAATGGATCTGCTGCCGTTGATTGTTTTACTACATGTAGTTATAAGGGAATATGAGTGATTGGCACCAATAACACTTTTATTGACCCTTTGCTGTGAAACTGGATTGGATTTCTAGGCTTGCCTCAACAAATATATTTGTACTATACCTAGGTGTTTATGCATAAAATTATCACGCAAGCCAATCGATTGATCATTGTCAATGACAACAAAAGGCCCACGGGCCTTATAGGTCACCTGAGTATCACATAACATTCCAACAATTGAATTTGGTTCATGAAATTCACAATTACTATACACTTAGCATGCTTACTTTGATTACTTAATACCCAGAGGTAGATCAGAGATCAGAAAAAAAAAGAAAATACACATCCACTTTATAACCACTAGTTGTGCACCCAACCCACAGGAACCACTGACCCTGGGGCCATATATTTCGAAAATTTGGAAATTTTATCATAAATTTTATTTCATCATAAATGGTTAATTAATACCAAAGAGCAGATTTCAAAGCATTACTTTATTTTCAAAATATGTAACCCCCCTCCCCCCAAGTACCCCTGACCTACAGTGAGGGGCCCGGAAATTAACCATTTTGGAAGAGGCACTTTTCTTCATCATAAGTATGTACTTAGATCAATGGCATAATGCCCAGGAGCAAAGGAAAAGATTTTCAAAGAAGTCATGCATTTTCACTTTATAATCATAAAAGCCCCGCCCTAACACAAGAACCCCTGGCCCAGGGGCCCTGAAATTCACAATTTTGGAAGAAACATCCTTCTTCATCATAACTATGTACATAATTCATTGGGTTAATGCATTAACCCGTGGGTTAATAAATTCACAATTTTGGAAGAGACAGCCTCATTCAACATAACCATGTACTTGGTTAGTTTATTTAATAGCAAGAGGAGAGAAAAGAATTTAAAGAATTGATGCATTTTCACTATATAATCAATAAAGCCCCGCCCTAACACAACAACCCCTGATCCTGTGGGCCATGAAATTCAAAATTTTGGAAGAGACAGCCTTATTCAACATAACCATGTACTTGGTTAGTTTATTTAATAGCCAGGAGGAAAGAAAACATTTTTAAAGAATTGATGCATTTTCACTATATAATCAATAGAGCCCCGCCTTAACACAACAACCCCTGATCCTGTGGCCATCAAATTCAAAATTTTGGAAGAGACAGCCTTGGTTAGTTTATTAAATAGCCAGGAGCAGAAGATTTTCAAAGAATTTATGTATTTTCACTATATAATAACACAGCCCCGTCCTAGCACTCGAATCCCTGACCCAGAGGTCATGAAATTCACAATTTCAACATATTTTTTTTTTTTACTTGGTTAGCTTATTTAATACCCAGGAGCAGAGAAAGAGATTTTCAAAGAAATAATGCATTTTCACTTTATAATAAGCCCCGCCCTAGCACTAGAACCTCTTAACCTGGGGCCATGAATTTCACAATTTTGGTAGAGTACCCTATGCTGATTACAATCATACCAATAATTTGACTGTTTGGTGTTCAGGAGTAAAGATTGAAGAAGATTTTTAAAGACAGCACTAATTTTAGTGGTTTTGGCGCAATCCCTCAGGCCCCAGGGGGCAGGGGCCATAAAATTAACAATTTTCGTTCCCCTTCACCCACAGATGCTTAGTGCCAAAATTGGTTGAGTGGTTGCAGAGAAGAAGCTGAAAATGTTCAAATATTAATACACGACGGACGATGGTCGACGACGGACGAAAACAGATAGCAATAGGTCACCTAGCTGAGTTTACTCAGTTGACCTAAAAATCTAACAGTTCTTTCTTATATTTACATGCTCTTGATTCCGGAAATCCATGTGCTCTAAGCCTCGCTTCCGTCTCTGTCCCGCCCGCGCTTTATTAGTTCTACTGGTCAGAGGCCAGAAGAGCTTCTGCGATAGTAATGCATCCGGCGTCCGTCCGTATGTCTGTAAACAATTTTTCAAAATGTTACTCCTCCTACAGTTTTGGTCTGATTTCAATATAACTTGGCACACAAGTAGACTACACTAAAATACATAATTCTGTGTATCGGTTTTTGATTTCAATCAACGGTATTGCCGTGGTTACTAAAAATATAAATTTCTGTGAAATACTTTTAAAATTCTACTCCTCCTACAGTTTCGGTCTGATTTTAATATAGCTTATCACACAAGTAGACTACACTAAGATACATAATTCTGTATACATGTATTGGTTTTTGATTTCGATGAACGGTGTTGCCGTGGTTATTATAAATAGAAATTTCCGTGAAAAACATTCAAAATGCTACATTAAAATACATAATTCTGTAAATATTGGTTTTTGATTTCGATGAACTGTGTTGCCGTGGTTACTAAAAATAGAAATTTCCGTAAAACATTCAAAATGCTACGCCTCCTACAGTTTTGGTGTGATTTCAATATAACTTGGCGCACAGGTAGACTACACTAAGATACATAATTCTATATATCGGTTTTTCATTTCGATGAACGGTGTTGCCGTGGTTACTAAAAATATAAATTTCCGTGAAAAACATTCAAAAATGCTACTCCTCCTATAGTTTTAGTTTGATTTCAATATAACTTAGCACACAAGTAGACTACATTAAGATACATAATTCTGTTTATTGCGGTTTTTGATTTCGATGAACGGTGTTGCCATGGTTACTAGAAATAAGAAATTTCTGTGAAATACTTAAGTAATGCAATCCCATATACAGTTTTAGTCTGATTATAGACATGTACAATGTGGCATGGAAGTATTGTACACTGAGATACATGATAATTATTCTGTTTATTGCTGTTGCGAAGTTTCAAGTCCCAACTGCCACTTTTCTTTGTTTAAACTACAAACCAGTAGAGCTACAGTCTCGACAGAGACTTCTGGGTTTTTTTAAAACGGGCCTATCGATGAGAAATAAAGTACGTTTACTATTTGTAATTTTATCTCTAACAAAGACTAGAAATGTAAATACAAATTATTTTTTTTTTCTCAATCGGACAAGTGAGCTTTCGGACTAGTGGGCTTTCGGAATAGTGAACCTTCGGACTAGTGGGCAAACCCCTATTAAAGTTTATAAAATGCATTTCAACAAGTATTGCCTGTCCTTGATGATTCTTCGTGAAGCGACTTTGAGAAAGTCAGTTTTAATATTACTGAGCATATTAAGATGAACAGACTGATAACAAACCTGCCAGAAAAATCACGCGCACATAGGACGAGCGAAAATATTTTGCTGCGGAGAAAATCCTCAGGTAAACTTAAAATTAAGTGGCCTTCTATTAAAAGATCTGAACCAGGACATTGTGACTTAAAAAAAAATATTTTATTTTTGGCGAATGTGATTACATTGTCTCATATCCTAAAATACTGTGTATACACGATTCGTCATTACAGCAAAATATTTCTGCGTCTGGAATGCGCTGCTTCATCAGTGAACAGTCTACTTTCTGTAAGGAAAATTGAGTAATTCTTTAAAAAAAATGAATTTAATTTGCAGAGTATTACGGCAAGCGTTGTTATTCAAAGAACAACGTCCTCTCAGAAATACTTACATCTGCACAATGAGTTGAGAATGGGAATCCTGTTACCTGTCGCACTAAGCAGCTCTCTGTCGTTTGGCAATAGTTTGACCAAACGCAATTAAGATTACTGTCACAGGTAGGGCAACCGACACCTAAGTTAAAACCAGAAGTCTCTGTCGAGACTGAAGCTCTCCTGGTTTGTACTTATAGCAAAGGAAGAGAAAAGTACTTAAGCAGTTGGGAATTGAATCTTTACAATAAATGGAATAATGATCCTTGATAAAGTCTCTTTATCTTCTTTGTGAAGTCTACTTGTGTGCCAAGTTATATTGAAATCAGACCAAAACTGGAGGAGGAGGAGCATTTTGAAACAATTTTACAGAAATTTCTTTTTTTAGTAACCACCGCAACACCGTTCATCGAAATCAAAAACCGATATATAGAATTATGTATCTTAGTGTAGTCTACTTGTGTGCCAAGTTATATTGAAATCAGACCAAAACTGTAGGAGAGGTAGCATTTTGAAAGAATTTCACAGAAATTTCTATTTTTAGTAACCACGGCAACACCGTTTATCGAAATCAAAAACCGATAACTAGAATTATGTATCTTAGTGTTGTCTACTTGTTTGCCAAGTTATATTGAAATCAGACCAAAACTGTAGGAGGAGTAGCATTTTGAAACAATTTCACAGAAATTTCTATTTTTAGTAACCATGGCAACACCGTTTATTGAAATCAAAAACCAATAAACAGAATTATGTAACTTAGTGTAGTCTACTTGTGTGCCAACTTATATTGAAATTAGACTATAACTGTAGGAGGAGTAGCATTTTGAAAAATTGTTTACAGACAGACGGACAGACAGACAGACAGACGGAATGACGCCGGACGCATTACTATCGCATAAGCTCTTCTGGTCTCTGACCAGTAGAGCTAACAAGGAAAATACCATTAAAAGACAACTTAAATTAGTCAAAGGGTTCGTAAAGCGCACTGATGATGATTAAAAAAGCTGAATATATTTATGAACAAGAAAACATTGATGTAACCATCAATGTCGCCCGTGAAATAAATAAAGTAAACAATGGAAATGAGTCTTGATCATCAAACCGCTGCGATATGTGTGTAAAAGGCATGCGTCTAAATGATGGAGACGATAGTCTAGAATATTTTGAAAACTTATAGTCGGATAAATATCGAACAAAAACGATACCCTAATAAACTTGATCAGTTCCTCAAGTATAGGTTGGCTGCATAAAATATCAAATGCAACCAGACATATGCATCATCTATTTTCAAAAATGTAAACAGGAACTGTGTAAAGTTCGTTTTATGCGAAAAGTAAAATTCGATGTTCTAAAAAAATAAAGGGACCCGTCCTTTTTTGGGATAGTAAATGATAAGCAACTTTATATATTAAATATGAAAAACTTATATATTTTTAAAGATTCAATTTATGGAAGTAAATATATTGTGCATCTCGTAATTTATAAAGGGAAAGAACATTCTGATTAAAAATCTTATTAATGTTTAGAAAACCTTTAATTCTGAATAATTTCTCCCACCTCAATCCCCATAAACCAACACTTAAACTTATATGTATAGAGCAGCCTGGTCCTCCGGACTGCAATAATGTTAAATGCATGAATTTCTTATATAAACGACATGTTACGTTTAATAATTACTTAAACAAGTTAATTTGAACAAAAACCTTGGAGAAACAAAAAAGTTTGATATCGATTTTGTCTAGAATTTACACGAAGCACTTCCAAACTGACCTTTAGGTGTCGTATTTTGTGTGGTGTGCTGGGTTGTGGTTGTGGCCGCCGTTGTTGAAGGTGTGTGGTCGGGATGTGGTACACGACGCACTCCCATTGTACCTGAAGTAGTTTTAATATACTCCATCATTCAGAAGAACAAGCTAGTCATTCACATTGAAGTTATTCTTGCAAATACAATCTCTCATTCAAGTTAAATGCTGACTTATGTTATTTTACCACTTGTTGTGCCATTATTGGTAGGGGGTTCAGGTATAAATTTTCGGTGAAATATTTTCAATTAAATATATTCTAGGACAAACATGGAGACATTAAGAAATATAAAAAACTTTACTTGGTGAAAAAATTCCAAGTAGAACAGAATTATGAAAAAATCAATGTTTTCAGTACTGCTATTTTATGTAAGGAAATTTCTATACATACGAGTATTAAATGATGGCACATAAAAGGAAGAAAAATCCGTTAAATCTAGGTATTTTTTAAAGGATAGAGTCTAATTTTATCTAAAAGTAGGGCAAACTATATATTTTCGGAAAGGTCTATGCAAGCCCTAATTTTCTGTTTCCATGTCAGCTAAAAAATATCCAAGATGGCGGTAAAATATCCAATATGGCCGCCAATAGTAAAAATGACCGATACAGTCTTATTGAACACATACTTTCAAAATCAGGTGAGTTAAGAATAAATAATGAAATTTTATGAATTATTTTCAATTTATTACTTTTAAAAGATTTATTAAAATAAGGATCGTAATAAAATATGGTCACTAAAAGTTAGCAAAGAAGAAAGATTTCAATATTATGAAAATGGCAAAAAAAAAAAAGGAAAAAAGAATTTACTACAATTAATTCACAACTTTATTTTTAAATTTACATAGATCTTTAAAACATATCAAATTTTCGGTTTCAATCAATAATTGTGTATTTTATCCATGCTTCCTGGACAAGTTGAGTGTTAAGTTTCTCTCAGACTTCTGCTACTACCGGCCGCGGGCGGGCACATTATCATGATATGGAATGATTTATAGCATTTTCCTGAAGTCTAACTGTATATACTCACAGAAAAAAATTAACCACAAAGTATCATGTGCACAAACAAAATTATAAATATTTTATAGTTATAAAGTTAAAGTTTTATCACATTTGAACTTCGGGTTATTCATTTATTATACAGACAGTATTTCAGAATTCAGAGGAAATCCAGGCTGCAGAATCAAAGTTGTACATTTATATCAGGGATCGTTAACTAGCATATATAGGCCCCTGTATATGTTATGTAGTAGGAAATGACCATAGTTTTCAAATTCATAGACTATATTCCAATAAGTCTAAAATGATTTAATCTCACATTTTCTATTTCACTTGTGGTTTTACGATATAAAAGTGTGCATGAATTTAAAGGCACTTAGAAACTGTTCAAAAGTTGCGTCGGGTTGACGTCTTTTGAATGAAATCCGGGTGAATTATTTTCTGAAGTGATCACAGAACCACAATTATCTGATAGGAAATTTTCTCAGCTTTCTAATAGTGTATGTTGCATAAAAATATTTTGATTACTTACCGTAGTAAAATTGACCTCTTTCCTTTGAAACGGAAATACATAAACTTCTGCACATTGCATCAAGGTGCAACAATAACAATGTTAATCTTCAAAATGTAAGCTTTCCTGTGATATGTCAATGTCGTTAATTCCTTAAAAATCGTCTCCCGGAAAGCCAATCAAAATGACGCTATTTTCGCGGAGACAAAATTACAGTGCCATGCATCAAAAGGGAAACCCCGTATCCAATTTTAGCACAACTTCGACCCGGTTAATTTTCAACACAGACTTATTAGAATGACATAACACACGCATCATACGAAAGTTCAAACAAAGAAGAAACAAGAGGCCCATGGGCCTTATAGGTCACCTGAGCATTATGCAACAACTTTCCAGCGATTTAATTTGATTAATGTTTTAAAAAAATGGCATTCACAATTTTGAAAGAGGCACCATTTGATCATCATAACAATACACTTAGCAGTTGCTTAGTTTGTTTACTTAATACCCATAGGCAGGGTGTGGGAACAAAAATGCATTTCAAGTAATCAGTAATATTCAGCAATAATCAGTAATGCCCCATTCACACATGAACCCCTGACCCTTAGGCCTAGATCCACACATTGCACAATTTTTGAAAAGGCACCCTTGCTTTTCAAAAATATTTGATTAATACCAAGGAGCAGATTAACAATTCATCCAGTTTCAGTATATAGGTAGGACATGGTACCCCTGACCCTGGGGCCTTGACATTCACAATTCTGGAAGATTAGGGTCCTTGCTCATCATAACTACAAAGGTAGTTCATCTGCTTAATACCCAAGAGCAGAGAAGAAAATGTTCAAAGATTTAATATATTTTCACTATATAATCAATAGAGCCCCACCCTATCACTAGCACCCCTGACCCTGGGGTCATAAATTTCACAATTTTGGGAGAGGCACTCTTGCTCATCATACTTATGCACTTGTTTAGTTTATTTAATACTCAGGAGCAGAGAAGAAGATTTTCAAAGAATTCATAAATTTTCACTATGTGTGTAAAAGGCACCCTAGCACTAGAACCCCTGACCCTGGGCTATAAAATTCACAATTTTGGTAGAGGCACTCTTGCTCATCAAAACTATGCACTTAGTTAGTTTATTTAATACCCAGGAGCTTTTCAAAGAAATAATGCATTTTCACCATATACTTATTTAGCCCCACCCTAGCACTAGAACCCCAGTTGGCTGTCATAAATTTCATAATTTTGGTAGAGGCACTCTTGCTCATCATAACTATGCACTTAGTTAGTTTATTTTACCCAGGAAAAAGAAGATTTTCAAAGAATTCATGAATTTTACTATATAATCTATAGAGCCCCGCCCTAGCAAAGAACCCCTTACCCCGGGGCCATAAAATTCACAATTTTTAGAGGCACTGTTCTCATCATAACTATGCACTTAGTTAGTTTATTTAATACCCAGGAGCAGAGTAAATTTTCAAAGAAATAATGCATTTTCACTTTATATATTAAGCCCCACCCTAGCAAAACCCCTATGTATTTTTAAATTTCACAATTTTGGTAGAGGCACTATATTGCTGCATCATAACTATGCACTTAATTAGTTTATTTAATACTCAGGAGCAGAGAAGAAGATTATTTAAGAATTCAAAAATTTTTATATAATCTATAGAGCCCCGCCCTAACACTATAACCCCTGACCCTAGGGCCATAAAATTCACAATTTTGAAAGAACTCTTGTTCATCATAACTATGCACTTAGTTAGTTTTTTAATACCCAGGAGCAGAGAAGAAGATTTTCAAAGAAATAATGCATTTTCACTATATCTTATATACCCTAGCACTAGAACCCCTGACCCTGGGGCCATAAATTTCACAATTTTGGTAGAGGACTCAATGCTGATTACAATCATGCAAACAGTTTAACTGCTTGATGTCCAGGAGTAAAGAAGAAGATTTTTAAAGATTCCATTAATTTTAGTGGTTTTTGCCCCACCCCCCAGGCCCCAGGGGGGCAGGGACCATGAAATTCACAATTTTTGTTCCCCTTCACCCATAGATGCTTTGTACCAAATTTGGTTGAAATTGGTTCAGTGGTTGCAGAGAAGAAGCTGAAAATGTTCAAATGTGTAACGGACGACGCACGACGCACGACGACGGACTGAAAACGGATAGTTTTAATAGGTCACCTGAGTTTACTCAGGTGAAAAAAATCGTTATATTTAATTTCTACATAAATATGAATAATAATGCAAAAAAGACGTTTATAAACACCGATAAATTGCGTGTAAATAGCACAACTACACAGGTAAGTCGGGTTACCTGAACCCCCTATTATTGGCACACTGAATTGAAAACGAATTTTTCCGATCATAACAAGGAGCACATGAAGGTTGTGACCAGTTGGCATGTGATGCTCACTCCTCCATGACACCTGCTCCCACCTCTTGAAGTTTAAGAAGTCCTTGTTTGCGCTGCTTTAAAGTTTGTATTGACTTATTAACTAAAATACTGTTCGTTAACTTCACCTCACTAATTTTTTTTATATATAATGTGAATAATAATATTCTAGAGGTATCATTCATTGAAGATCGTATCTTTTAATTGAAGAATCTTTACAGATACTCAGAACTAAGCAGGGAAAATAAAGTGAAGAAGAAATTTGCTAATTGATTAAAAGACTTACTTTCCATTACGAAAGCGAGGTATTCCTTGCATTGCTGACAACTGAAGTCTACACGCTTCATCATTCGTCCAACTGTGTTTCAGTAAAAAGTTAATTACAAGTTATCAGATATTTATACAGTTCAAATGAAAGTTTTAAAAAACTTAGTAAATTTGAAATCATTCTGATTTTGAACCTAAATATATAAAAATATTAACTTAACTGTTTGGAATCCATCTCATTCCACCAACAAATGCTTCCAAATTGTCAGAACGAAATCCTATTTCATGAATATGAAAAATAACGCATATAACATTATTTAACTCAAAAAATATTTTATAACAACGAACTTGGCTACTTATTACAATGAGGGGGAAGTTTGTCACTCAAGTATCTTTAAGAATGAAGTTGTCAAAATATTTTCTTTTCTTTATCTTCATATGACATTATAAGTTAAGATACTAACTATATTACAAAATTTACAACGTACGCGGTCTAAGTACAATCATGTTTCATATTCATTGCAAACGTCGTTGTTATCGTCTGGGGGAATAATATTACAGGTGAAAGGAAAAGCAAGGATCAATTAAGGTCCAGGGTAATTTTGACACCTATTTCTGACCCTGGAGTAACATTTTTCTTCGATGTGAAGGAATGCAGAATAACAGTTTGCCTGGTGTCCAAGGGTTCGTAACATTTAATACTTATATAAGATTTTAAATTTACCTGGCATGCAGCATAGCCGCTTAGGGGCATTGATGTGTGCAACTATATACTCATAAAGAGTTTGCAAAGCTGAAATATTGATAAAATGAATTTTCACAAAAAGATAACTAAGGCTTTTATATTCAAATTTTCAAATAATTTTTTTTGTTCAATTTATAATGAATTTAAAAGTACATGTATACACACCTATCGTTTTATGGTTGAAACTCCAAAGTCTGAAAAGTGCTTTCGTATCTACAAGGGAAAATATTAATTAAAAAAGTACATTTTTCATTTTATGTAAACCTGATGATAGGTTTTAATTCTTCCCCCCCCCCCAAATTTCACTTACGTAGACACTGTGCAGTTCCTTCGACGGGTATCATCTTAAACAGATCTGAAATAATTAAAACGTAACGATGTAAACTTACATGTACGACAGGATCTCCCGTGATTTGTAGTTGGATATGATCATGGGAGATTCTTTTTATCCCATTTTTAATATTTCACAATCAATGTTTTACACAGTTTTTGTATATAAAGGACTCCACTTTATTGTCCCCCGCTTGAAAAGTGGGGGATATATATTAATTTGGGTCTGTCCGTCCGTCTTTCTGTCTGTCTGTAACGCTTTCTTTTCCATGCAATATCTTGAGAATCCTTTGAGCTTTCGCAATGAAATTTTGCATAGCAACTCCCTATGGACTAAAGAAGAACCCTATTGGTTTTGAGGTCAAAAGGTCAAAGGTCATAAATTCGCAAATTCTGCCTGTTATAACACTTTCGTTTCCGCGGGATATCTCGAGAACCCTTTGACTTCTGCAATGAAATTTTACATAACAACTCCCTGTGGCCTAAGGAAGACCCCTATTGATTTTGAGGTCAAAAAGTTCAAGGTCGTAAATTTATACATTCTGTCTGTGTCTAACACTATCCTTTCCGGGCAATATTTCAAGAAGATTTTGAGATTTTGCAATGTAATTTTATACCAAAACTCCCTAGGACCTTTCTCACCCCTCTCAAAGTGTCCCGCCCCGTTTGTTTTATATTTATTGTACAGTGTATTTCATGTCGCTATTTTTAGCACAGGGGCATGAGGAGAGTTATTACATATCAATCAGGTTCTCGGAAGACTTTATATTCTTATTACATCTATTAGAACTGTTTAGTAAAGGTTAAATTAGACACCATGCACTGTGTAAAATTTTGACAATATCGAACGTGAATATATACATGTATGTGACTTCATATTTGCATATGATTTTTGCCAGTTTAAAGCGGTTCCGAGGTATAGTGGTATGTCTCTCGCTTCACATGTGAGAGGTCCCGGAATCGAATCCCGGGCGATCCATTTTCTTTTTTTTTTCCGAAATACTTTTTTTTTTACTAAATAATAGTATTCAGCATGTGAAAAGAAAAAAAAAATATAAGGTCTGGCTTGTACAAACTCATAAAATCATCATTACAGTGTGATAAATATTCCATATAAAAATCTTCTATACACATAACAAAGAATAAGCAATCAAATCTTTATATCCATATTGGCATATTTTATTTACTTTAGTATACATGATACATTTAATAATTCTACAAATTCAGTCAGGGGGATCCGACTCCCCCCCCCCCCCTCCCGAACTGCTTATGGTTTACTTTTTCCCTAAGCGGGGGACACAAATTCTCTGAATTAGCTTGTTTTACTTCATTAGGCTAACGCAAAACCCATTGTGACATCACAACTGCAGTGGGATACAAAACGATATCACATGAGCTATATCAATGGGATAAATCTAGATACAGTTATGGGTCATAAGTATTCGTAAAAAAACAAAATGGCGGCGATGTAAACAAAACTAGGTCACCTTAGTTTCATCAAATTTTTAACCTAACTGAATCTGCACCAACCTTAATATTTCGTAAGACAGCCTTTTGACTTGATCACTGCTTTAATTCTTCTTGGAATCGACTGGTATAGCCTTTGAATGAATTGAAGCGGGATGTTTTCCCAGGCCTGTCGAACGGCTACTGCAAGGGTCATCGTTGGTCCTCAGGTTATGAACATTTATATTAAGTTCGTGTTTCATTTTTTTCCAGCAATTTTCGATAATATTTAAGTCAGGACTTTGGGCTGGCCATTCAAGTGTTGTTATTCCCTCTCTAGTCACGAAATCTTTCACTACTCTTGCTCTATGCACAGATGCATTGTCGTCTTGAAATATATACCGATTGTTAGGGAAATGCCTGGCTACAACCGGCCATAAATTGCTATCGATGATTTCAATATATTTTTCGGCATTAATTTTACCGTCAACAACATTTAAAGTACCTACACCATAAGCTGTTATACATCCCCACACCATCAAATCAAGGCGCCGTCCAGGAGGGGGTGCAACACAACGGGCGTCCCATTCTTCGCCGTCCTTCCGCCACACATACACGCGTTGTTCTCCATCAATCATCACCTTACACTCATCACTGAATATTATTTTATTCCAAAATCCATCGACAGTTTCGTGTCTGTATTGTTTACACCAATTAATCGTTTTTAGCTCTACTGGTCAGAGACCAGAAGAGCTTATGCGATAGTAATGCGTCCGGCGTCCGTCCGTCCGTCTGTCTGTCTGTCTGTAAACAATTTTTCAAAACGCTACTCCTCCTACAGTTTTGGTCTGATTTCAGTATAACTTGGCATACAGGTAGACTACACTAATATACATAATTCTGTGTATCGGTTTTTGATTTCGATGAACGGTGTTGCCGTGGTTACTAAAAATAGAAATTTCTGTGAAATTCTTTCAAAACACTACTCCTCCTACAGTTTTGGTCTAATTTCAGTATAACTTGGCACACAAGTAGACTACACTAAGATACATAATTCTGTGCATCGGTTTTTGATTTCGATGAACGGTGTTGCCGTGGTTACTAAAAATAGAAATTTCTGTGAATTGCTTTCAAGATGCTACTCCTACAATCTGCATCTGATTTCAATATAATTTGGCAAGTAGACTGCAATAAGATACATAAATCTGTGCATCAGTTTTTGATTTCGATGAACGGTGTTGCCGTGGTTATTGAAAATAGAAATTTCTGTGAAATGCTTTCAAAATGCTACTCCACCTACAGTTTTGGTACGATTTCAATATAACTTGGCACACAAGTAGACTGCAATAAGATACATAATTCTGTGCATTGGTTTCTGATTTTGATGAACGGTGTTGCCGTGGTTACTAAAAATAGAAATTTCTGTGAAATGCTTTCAAAATGCTACTCCTTCTACAGTTTTGGTCTGATTTCAATATAACTTGGCACACAAGTAGACTACACTAGGATACATAATTCTGTGCATCGGTTTTTGATTTCGATGAACGGTGTTGCCATGGTTACTTAAAATAGAAATTTCTGTGAAATTCTTTCAAAATGCTACTCCTCCTACAGTTTTGGTCCGATTTCAATATAACTTTGCACACAAGTAGACTACACTAAGATACATAATTCTGTGCATCAGTTTTAATTTTGATGACTGACAAGGATCAATTTTCTATTTATTGCTGTTTTAAAGTTTCAAATTCCAACTGCTACTTTTTTCTTCCTTGTTTTAAGTATAAACCAGTAGAGCTACAGTCTCGACAGAGACTTCTGGTTTCTTGTTCACTTCACGAATCCGAAGTTTTTTCTTTACAAGCCTCCTCCGGTATCCCCCTTTTCTCAAAATTCTTTTCACGGTACTTTCTGACAGTCTACTAGCTCCATTTTCATTGGTAACATTCATTAATTCTGTCAAAGTCCTTCGAAGATTTTTTTCACAAGTCGAATAAGTTGCCTTTCCCCTTGGACACTACACTTACGCGGTCTGCCACTTCGATCCTTGTTTTCTGTATTTCGACGTCTTTGTTGTCGCTTTAAAAAATTTGCATATTGTAGATATAGGTCTTTCTGTTATCTCTGATATTTCCTTTAACTTTATATTAGCTTTAAACAACGATAGAATACTTTCTTTCTCGGACGCACACAGTTCAAATCCTTTCCTACCCATTTGTTTTTAAAGCGGAAACAAAACATTTGCAGACGACAAAATACGTCATAACAAAGCCACGTGATCTGTCATGTTCTTGTGTATATTTGTACGTAGTAAGAGGGATAAATCTAATTTGTGCGTCAAGAACGACGCTGAAATGGGAAGCGAACCGCGGCAGTGAAAAAGTAGGCCATTTTTTACGAATACTTTTGACCCGAGACTGTACATGTATCAAATATTTGGCCCTACACCTTTTTTTCCATACATAACCTTTTAATGCGCCCGCATCGAAAGATCCGAGGCATATATTATTTTTGTTCTGTTTGTCTGCAAACTTTAACCTTTGCCATAACTTTTGAACCATGAATGAAAGAGACTTCATATTTGGTATGCTTACTCCACTAATTAAGCTCTTTCAAATGACACCAAGGTCAAGGACCTTGTGACCCTGACTGTGACCTACATGTATATGCCAAAAATATTTTTTCTGCAAACTTTAACCTTCGCCATAACTTTTGAAACATAAAAGATAGAGACTTTATATTTAGTATGCAAACACCACTGATAAAGCTCTTTCAAATGACACTATGATCAATGACCTTGTGACCTTGACTGCGACCTATAGGCTAAATACAGCTTTTTTGTCTGCAAACTTTTACCTTCGCCATAATTTTTGAACGAAGAAAGATAAAGACTTAATTTTTGACATGCATACTCCACTTATTAAGCCCTTTTACATGACACAAAGGTCAATGACCTTGTGACCTTGACTGTGTCGTATATGCTAAAAATAGTTTTTTTGAACCTTCACCATTACTTTTGAACCATGAGAGATAGACTTCATATTTGGTATGCATACTTCACTAATCAAGTTCTTTCAAATGACAACAAGATTAATGACCTTGTGACCTTGACTGTGACCTATAAGCTAAAAATATGTTTTTAACTGTTGCCGCCGGGCGCATAGTGTTTCACAAACACATCTTGTTGTTAATGTAATTATAATGTAGAAAGTAGGTCTACAAAACAATTAATGAAAGGCATTGGAGTAGGACCTGATTCCCCCTACCAATCATACGTACATTTGTCTTTTTTTTC